TCTATCTATCTATCTATCTATCTATCTATCTATCTATCTATCTATCTCTGTTTGGTTATGATTTTGCTTGACCTTGTAGTAGGGTCAGTCTCGACCGGAAGTCTTGCTTAAATGGATAGTATCAGATAGTCGTTTAAGGTCGTGCTGTGATCGATTCGCGTTTGGGAGAGCCATATATCTCTCCTGACTCACAATGATCGAGAAGTGAGAGGCGAACTTATTCTACTGGTCATCCTTAAGACCACTTCCCATCCGGTGAAGGAGCTATTTTAAGAGTCAATCAATTACGTGAGAATGTTTTCCGGTGATGAAGTTTGCCCCCAGGCATCCTTTTCTCTGACGCCAAACGAACCGTTGCGGCAGCGCTTTGCTGAAGGCGAACGCCGAAAGACTCCTGGCATGCACTGAATCTGACACCGCTCCTCACCACCCCTCTCCATTCCCCTCTTGGAAACGACTGCTTCAACGTCAAACGAATCGAACACATTAAGCCATGCTGCAGTTCTTAATATCAGCAAGTTTTTGTCCGGCCACCTCCATTTCTCTTTAATGCGTTTTGATGAATGTGTTGCGCGCCTGGGCTTTAGCGCAGAGCATGTGGTCACACCTTGAATAAGCAGCAGTGTTGATATGGTGGTTAGATGGAGGGAATAAAAAAAAAAAAAAGCCTCGATGAGAACGGAGTCAGGGAAGAAGATCCTCGACTCAGTTTCAGGGAGGGAGTGAGAAGAGAGAGCTCCCTTCGTCCATTAATTTCCAAATGTCTGTTGCTAAGAATAGCCCATCCCTTCCACCTTCCCTAACAAACACACGAAGACTTGCAGGCGCGCACTTGGACGTGCATTTACTCCATCCGACGCGCTCGTGAGCGCGCGCTCATTGTCAGATTGGGTTGCAGCTGTGCCTTTGCTGGAGCTGCATGATGCCAACACCCCCCCCCCCCACACACCCCTCCACATCAGCACCCATACGCACGCATCGGGCTCCAACAGTCGTACGTACTGGGGCTTTCGTAAAGAATGTAAGGTTGCAAGATGCTGAGGAAGAAAACAAACCGTGGAGCACAGACTCACACTGACTGATGTCACCTACACCAACAAGCCATTTTACGCTTCGCTGTGGCCCAGTCAGTTCGGGTACGGCTGTTGCCAGAAGCACTTTTTTTAAAAGACACGAGCGGTAAACGGCGCCTCGACGCGTGACAGAAGTCGGGAAGTTGGGCGAGCTGCGTGCGTCACGGGCCGTGCCCGCGGAGCCGCACCACGCGCTCATTACCGTTTACGCAAGACGGCGATTAAGGGCGGGCGTCGCGATTTCTTCAATTTATAGACAGGGCCCGGGCCTGTGTTTTAAGGAAACAGCCAGTCTCCTCCCTTTAATTTACGCTTCCATCCATTCACCAATTCATCCATCCGTCTGTCTGTCCCTCCCCTCCTCCCCTCGGGGTTGCTGGATGAGGACAGAGGAGGCCGTGGAGAGCGCACTACCCTACTCCAATGAGAGAGAGAGAGAGATAGGGCGAGAGGGAGAGAAAAAACAGAGAGAGAGAGAGAGGGAGAGAGAGAGGACGCTCTGTCAGGACATTTGGAGCTTATCGGTGCGGACGAAGGTAGACTTTTCGGGGCGGGGATGGTGAGGGACTTTTTTCGGCACTGCTACATCTCGAACGGACAAACCAAGATCATGAGAGGGTGTAAGGCGGCGGGAGAGCGGCCGTCGTACCCTTGTCTTTGACAACGCCGTCCGTGTGTCCCTTGTTCGCTTCTCGACGGACGCACAGGTGAGGGGCTGAAGATGACGGTTACAACGAGGAAGGATGCTGTTGAATTCGTCTGAGAAAAAATTACTCTTATCTTCCCGGCAAGACCGAAATGACACCAACGTTTCAAAGGAAAACGGTATTTTTTCTATTTCCTATCTAGTCGAGATTATGCATCCTGATTTAAGACTCGTGAATTACGGGTGTCACTGTTTTCCTCGTTTCAAGGCTTGCCAGAGCGCTCCTCTGAAAAAACTGTAGGGTGGCCACGTTATTGCCTCACACTGTATCAAACATTGCGGATGTTCTATAATAAATAAATAATAGTAGCTCTTCCCTTTTCGATGCCTTTTAAATCTTGGGAGACGCCACTGTTTTCACGATGCCAGGCTGAACGCCACTAACGACAGTTTCTTGCAAGGCGGTGAAATATTTTCAGATCCATTTTTCATTTTTTTCATTTTTTTTTCCCACTGAGGCCTAAATTTAAAAGACTTCCATCACAGAGAGAGACGGAATGAATCGTTCAGGAAAGTGCGTGAGCATCTGGTGCACTCCAAGACAAGAACGCAGAAGCATGAAACATTCATGTTAGTCTCCCCACGATTTCATGTTGGGGTCGAATCCTGCTTTCCACGGACATAAGAGAGAACTGAGACCGAGACACC